AGACAGTCTTATGAAGAACGTTATTTTCGGTTCTTCGATGATCGCGTAATTGTTAAAAATATAAAAATATTTGAAATACACGCAAGAATTATGTAATAAAATTTGATATAAAAAAAAAAATTACTCAAACGTAGGCATGATAATTCTTCGATAACGTGCACCGAGCGTAACACACAAAATTTAAAAAAAATGTCCAACAAAACTCTTTCACGTGCTTTAACTCTATCTTGGAAAATTCATTCGCGCGATATTAAATTTAATTTTCTGAAAGAAAGAATCTCGCGCGCGTAGAGACACACTGCAACTGAATTATGCGAAGATCTGTGATTACGGGCCAAGAAATTATTCCCGTGACACCAAAAGCTCCGCACATTTGAAGTCGTAGGAAATGTCATAAATTTTGGAAGACGATCACGAACAGTTCTCTTCTAACGAGGGAAAAAGAGAGGCGCGCGCGCCGCGTTCTGAGAAAAGAATGTTTCTTGTCAGAGAATGTTTCTTCAGCAGTGTGTCAAGAACATGTGTGTGTGTGTGTGTGTATGTGTGCAACTTCTGCCGTGGAAATCACGAAACGAACGATCCACGTGGCGCCTATTAAATGCATCAAACCTCAAAATTACCAGTCGCGCGCGATAATAACTTTGTAATAAAGAGACGCCGAACGAAACTTTTCCGCGCGAGCAAGAGAGAGAGAGAGAGAGAGATAAGGAAAGAGACAGAAGAGACAATCAAATTAATTTCTCGATTCTGATTGTACGATCATGATTCACGAACAAAGTCAACAAAAGAGAAAAAAACTCTATTTGTCTTTACAATATACACACAATATGCTTTTGTGACAATATGATTAGTTAAGCTATCGTCATTCTTTACGCTCACAAACGCGAGTGAAATCATTAACTCGCATTAATCACGTATAGAGGACCGTAATATTGAATTACGAAGCGGACACAGCAAATAAACGGCGGAGAGAGAGAGAGAGAGAGAGCGCGCGCGCATCATCGAAAACATAGGAAACGCGGATAAATATTTTTTATTCTCTTGTTTTTCCCGTGACGCATCGGTTTCAAATGAAATGAAACTGCCAGTTAAATCAACAGAAATTACTGTATGAAATTCCTGCGAACGTCGCGTTGTTCGTGAATTAATTCCGCTTCCCGACAGAAATCAACAAAATATTGTGTGTAAAATGATCGGATATTGTGTGTAAAATGATTTTTTTTCTAATTATCATTATTAGTATAATAATTAGTATAATAATATTCGCAGTCTTATATAAAGGTGATAGTTTTTGTTTATTCCTAGATGTTTTTATTAACATTGAACGCGAGAAGATATCTTCATTTTCTTCGCTTTCTTATCGTATAAATTTTCACTTTAGTTCATTTATTCAATTTCTAACAGTGCTTCGAAAATTTGAAATGTCGCATTTTTTAAATTAAAATAATCCATTTGCTCACAAAATCCTATTTTTCTCAATTGTACACTTTTCAGAAGTGTAGCTGCAAAGCACAACGATAGAAAAACAAAGTTTTAGAGTTAATGACAACGAACACGACTCTTTCGCTATGCAAGACTCGCGCCGCACATTAAAGGTTAATACTACTTGCAATACATCGCGCGACGTAACGAAATCGTTTAAAAGCCACCCGCAGCGTCGAGGATGGCGACCAATGAGCGGGGGGCGAAACCGAAATGAATTGCGCAGTAATTTTGTTAGCAACTGCAAAAGTTTTCGGAGAATGGCGCAGCGTTTATCATATTACTCGCGAATAATGGAATTTACACTCGGTGCATACGGATGATACACGGCCGTTTAAACCGTCGATACGTACATCTTGGACGTTGTACGAGAGTCTTGCAACAATACGCTTGTCTTGTACGCGAACAGAGCGAAATAAATGTACATCATATTTATGGATATCTAAAACGGAAGTTTCCCCGTATGGGAACTAAAGCGATATTAGTTTTTTTATATCTCAGTAACGTTTGGAGATCTTTTCATAAAACTTTAACGGCGTTTTGCGCGACGACGACGAAGCAATATGTAACAATCGAGCTTGGATATATCGTTGCGAGACGGTATGTGTCAGCTCATCGATTGCGATTACACATTCATGACTACGCGTCGTAATATTTCTGTACCCATTATCTCGTCGCGGAAATCTCGTATATTACAGTGTGAGATATCTGTACATACGTTAATACGAGATTACTTTACCGTGAAAGTTTTTACTTTTAAATTAAAAGTATGTGATTTTACATCTTATCCTCGATCGAATACGGATCTTCGATTTTCAGAAAATTCTCAAGTGAGTAATTGAATCGTTCGATACTGGAATCGTCTCGCGATATAATGCGCGCAATAAGGTGATAACGTGACTTTTACGTAAATCAAAATCCGCTTTGCGGCGGGATATGAGAAGTCGGCGGTATTGTGACGTTTCGTGAAAATTTTATGACAGCCAGACGAGTTCTTGCGCCGAGCTCGCAATAAATTTTATCGCTCGAAGTTGGTCGAGAACTCTCCGACGCGCTAAAAAGATACATGATCGATCGCGATTTCGATATTATATTATTACGTCCATTATTTTACTGTCGCATCGCTCATTCGAACGCACACTCAACGCGTATACGTATACGTACACGTCGGCTGTTATCTTGAATTGTGCCTATAAATTTGTAGTGAATTTGTCGGCGGTTTATACTGCTCGCGGCTGTTATGAATTAGACATCTCATCGAGACTTATTAATGGCGTCATTAATTTGCGCGAGTAATAATCGCGCTCAAAAGCTCGCAAATTTCAACGCCGCACACGCATCGGCGCGCGGCTTGCCTATAGTTAGCGACGTTATAAAATATTTCTCTCGGAGCGCGCCCTATCGATATGCATATAAATCAAAATAGTGATTTTGCGGCGACAGCAAACGCACACGTGCGTTCAGTAATCGAGTTATAAAAAAAATAAATGTCTTCTTTCCCGATCGACGCACTTTGTCATGGAGCACGTAATAATTCAGGTGGCGAAGAACGCGCGTAGAAGGGACCGAAGATAATGCAATGATTTACCCCGCGAACTGATATCTAAGATATTGTGCCTTGAAAAAAGTAAAGGCTTCAGCGAAAATATGAAAAATGTATTCCCTTTCTTCTTCTGAGAGAGAGAGAGAGAGAGAGAGGAGGAGAGAGAGAGGAGAGAGAGTCTGTCTGTTCTAGGAATCGACTGCAAAGAAATTTATATAATTTTTGTTCTACAGCTTCAAAAATGTCGTTCCAGGAACACATAAGTTATCTCCTGATTACGGTGCAATTTGAGTAATTGTTTTTCTTTGTGATCGTACAACCACAACAAAGAAAAAATGTATAAACCGTGTAAGAATATCTGTTTTATCTCTAATTTGTTCGTGGCGTTTATTTTGCTGCTTTTCCAACGTTATTGCATGCCGCAAAAAGATGAGAAAACTAAGAGACGACGTACGCAAAATAAACTCGCGAGAACCACGCATTTGTCGTAATTGAAGCTTCGAATAACACACGGCTACACCTTTGTAGTCTCTCTCTTTTTCTCTGTCTCTGTCTCTCGCGGCTGGTCTGGGGTTTCGAGTCGCCACACAGAGGTATCAAACTTCGTCGAAGTATTTGGATTCTCGTTGTTCGAACTGCACCGAAGGGCAAAGCGTTAAAATCAAATGTCGAGTTAACAGACGTAATCTGTCTGTACAGACGTTACCATGTCAATAAAAGCAATTTTCTATCTCGCTGTGTGTAACAATTTGTGTGTGTGCAATTTTGTTTGGGTTTTATGATAGACACTCGTGTAATTATTTAATCGCCGCATCGAAGAGAATAAAATCGTCACTCGTGTTTTCGCATTGCAATTTAATTAAGTGAATGAGTATTTTCCACGTATATATAATAACACACAAAATAATTGTAATCTTTGAAATCACTAATTTTAACAATAATTTTATATAATTGTTTTTAAATTGTGTTTTAATTCTAACTATATATAACACAAAGAGATTAAAATTTCTAGTTAATTCGAAGGATCTTTGATGAGTTAGCGAGACAATCCTGAAAAATCTGTAGAGATGTACAATAAAAATTATTTAACATATATTATTCTTACAATTATAAGCAAATGTACGAAGCAAATATCACGCGCGACATTAAATCGAATCTTCTGTCGCTTCAATCAAGTCGCAACTCGAAGTTGCTTGAAGAAATTACAGAAATTTACGATACTTACAACCGTCACCGTTTGTAAATTTTGTTTACACGTGTTTACAATCTATTCTCGTTAATTGACGCGAGAACGTAATCTAGTAGTAAGCAAGAAACATGAGTCTCCATTAAATAGTGACAGCATTCGATTAAACTCAATGATCACTACACACAAATCTGCGACACAAATCTGCGTAGTCCAATCGAACGAATCCGACGCATTTCCCCGTTTACATTAACGGGCAATTAACGACGATTGCACTGAGGTCCCGATGAACCTCCATCCACTCGCACTCGATCTGCATTAACACCTCGATTGCCAACGTTACGGCGGACACGTCACGTCATGTCACGCATTTTACCGACGCGCGACGTCGTTTTACTGCGCGTTGACAAGCATTAATCCGCATTATTCCGCACTTTTAGCGAAAGCCGCGCGAAACGATCGATCAAATGTTCAAAAATTTTAGAGTCAAAAATTAATCGCATTCTTTCGTTTTAACATCGACGCAAAATTGAGATAACTATCGCTTTTTAGTTCAATGCCGACGTGTACAACGCGAACGACTCTCTCATCTACAAGAGACGATAGCATAATAACACCGAGTTGTGATCGAAGTTTCACTCAAAGTTTTTTTATAAAAAAAAAGTTTTGATTAAAAAAAGCGCAGTGTCGCGAAGTTTTCCATCGGGGAGAACTAACAAAGCGATATTCAGATACGGAAGAAGGCGTGTGAAAGTTCGAGATAACACAGGAGCTCAAATCGTGACTCACCTGCGAGTTGTGCGCTGTCGCGTAGAAGAGTCCAACAACTTCGTAAAATTCCGTTCAAGGGGACTAGAGAGCGGAAACGACGCACGAACGCTAATGGAAAGATACAAATTATGCGGAAGCAGCGGAGAGAAAAAAAAATTATGCGATGAGACAGTGCCGAGGTAAATGGAGCCGTTGCGTGTGTTGTCTATCGGGACCGATCTGTATGACGGACAGATGAAGCACAAAGTGCGCACCGCGGGCTCGAGCTTCTCCGCTTTATACCCTCGAACTTGCACCTGTGCTTGCGCAGACCGGTCCCTTGAGCGGCTCCGGCCGCTCATTTCCTTCGTCAGCCGGACTCCGGTAGAGCCGCAGCCTCTCCACGTGCGCGAATGCTGCATCATTATATTGTTGTCTGTTTTCTGCTGATTGCGTAGCAAATTTTGCGACATGATTGGGAACACGTGTGTGTATGTATACATTAATAACGACGGATATTTTATAATCCCGGACATATACGACTCGAATCCGCGAATCAGAGGAGTGTAAAATCGGATTTAAAATAAACACAAGCCGTTTCTTCTACGGTTATACTTCGAATTTTCTGCGCCACCTCGAATCAATAATACAGCATTGGTAAATATTAATCCGATTCCAATAATAATAAACAAAGCGCATTACGTTTATCTCCCAATGAAAATGTCATACTCGCATAAAGGGAACAATAGCTTTTTGCATAATGTGCTATTATTAAATACGTTTAAGGAAACTGTATTATTGAGTGAAGAGTTTAATTTAAAAAAAATATCATTAAAATATTCTGATAAAAATTTTAATTAACTAACAATGTGCTATAGTTTTATTTTTTTTAGTTTTGAATATAACGCGTGTTTGCGCCAGATGTAATTCAAATTTGTCGAAAAAACGAATACTCGACCTTGACTCGCGAACTGTGACGCGAGCAGTGACAGTTTGACAAGATAAAGCGCGAGAGCAACCTTACGTTTTAGAAAATCGTCGATACGATTGCTGAGTCTGCTCCTCGAGGGCAACCGAATGTAAAGAAATCGCAAGCGTATAAAGTACTTGTAAGCTTTTCTCGATGTGCGACTCTTCGATTTATCGCCTCTTCGTTCGATGCTGATACGACAAGATCTTCAAATCTCTCTATCTATGTTATATCTTACAACACAAGAACTGACGTATGTCAGACATGTATAGACATTACATATAGATACTTCAAAAAATTTATTTAAGGTTTTTTTAGGTGATAAATAAATAAATATATATATAATACAAGCAACTTAAATTTGATATATTTAATTAATATTTTGTGTAGAAAAATAACAGAAAAATTATACTGAATTTTTTTACAGAACAAAGAAACAGCTTTGGATTATTGTACTAATGACAAAATGAGTAACAGAACATGTCTCTATTTTGTGCTTCGTAAGGTATTATAAGACGAGTCATCATCTTAAGCTAAGTTCATGAGATAGAGTACATAGGAAAAGTGTCTGCCTAGAGATTTATCTAGCCTTGCGATATCGTCTTTGACAGCAAAATTACTTGTGAGCCGCAACTTTCCTTCATAATGTCACGCCTCACGTAGTTGTCTACGACTCTCTGCTTTGATCACACTACTTTATTAAATCTTTGACCTGCGTATACTTCAGGCTCTGACCGTTATCCGATTGTGCGAAAATGTGGTTTTTATGTTTCGCTTAATAGGATATATATTTTCGTTTAAAATTTGCGCATCTTTAAAATTGCGTACAATGTACATACGATAGTTTTTAGATTTTTTGTTTTCTAGACAACTTTCCGCGTGTTTTAAGTTCTCAACACTTCAAATAATTTACCAATTGCAAAAATATTAATTCGAAGTTGTGAAGAAAATAAATGTGGCAATTTTATACATTTCTGTCTTTTTTTTTCTCAATCAAGTTTTCTTAGAAAGATTTTTAAGAATATTGTAGCGTGCAATATTACCGTAGTTCGGTAACTTATACGTCGCGCGATTGGCGCTCGATTATTTCATACTTTAGACTATCACCATCCCGTGGTAACGCGTACTATGTTATCTAGAAACCACAAACTACATACCCAGCGATTATAATTAATATGTATTATTGAGGAATCTTCAATTATCAAAGTTTTATACTGTTGGCAGCAACTGTAACAATCTTGATAAAATTAAGATATCGAAAATGATTATCATAGAACATGTTGACTCGCAAATCTATGCGAAAAATATATTTTCTTTAAAAACATTATCATATTTTTTTATGCTTCTTAATTACATGAAGATTTTTTATCACTGGATTGTTCTATTGAGACAATCATTAATGTAATAACTGTAAATGAATTAGTGGAAGGGTCCAAGAATCGAAAGTGAGTAATTGTCGCAGCAGACAGTGCATGAGTGTAATATCATGGAAAACTTGGAATTTATTGAGTTTTACAAATTGTTAAGTTATACTCAGGAAAAATCTTATCGACGACATATATGATATTTGCAACGGTTTCGTAAAGTTCGTGACGTCATCAAGTCGAATTTGCCTCACCGCGATGTATGAAGGAGCTTAAATCTGCGCGATTACGAAAATAGAATATTAACGACGGCGCAACGCGCCACCCACGGCGCTGCTTTTATACACGGAAAAAAAAATGCTGTTAAATTAAAAAAAAATGGAATTGCTTCAATTAAACGTCTACGTCACGGGCTGCCACAAAAATAAATAGTTCGTTCAATTGCATTTGGAATTGATTTTATTTCTAAGTATGTATATTAAACGAACGAAATATATATTTCAAGTAGTAACATATAATATTGTATTAAACACATATCACATTATAAGAATGCTTCTAAGTTTAGTATTAGATTACATTATAATCATGAAATAACTATAAATATGATTGTTTTAATTGTGTTTTTACTTGAATCTTGTGCAAATTATATTTTGTTTGAGTAGATATTTAATCAAATGCATAAGTTGTATGTTTTGTTGGCTTATACTTACTATTGAATAAATCAATAATGCTTGTCCTGAGAATAAAAAAGTGAATGTTTTGAGCGCATTTTTATTTGAAATATATAAATTTATTTTAAACAGAACCACGAAATTGCTTGAATAAATTCTATATGAAGATAAATTAATATTATATGTAGTTATATTAAATTTAATTACATTTTATTTGATTAGATATATTATCCATTACATAAGTTATACGTTTTATTGGATTGCATTTATAATTGATTGAACTACTGATGCTTGCCTTGAGAATAAAAAAGAGAGTATTTTAAAAGCATTTTTATTTGAAATGTATCAATTTGTTTTACAAATAAACATAATATTATTTGAATGAATTTCGTATGCAGATAAAGCTACAATATATATACTTAAAATAACTGACATTATATTTTAGTTGATTGAATATATTATCCAGTACATAAGAGATATGTTTTCCTGGATTATATTTTTCATTGAATGAATCATTAGTGCTTGCCTTGAGAATAAAAAAGTAATTGTTTTTAAAGCAGTTGTATTTGAAACATAAGTATATATATATGCATTTTACTTTAAAAGTAAACACTTTTTTACTCAAATGAATTTTGCATACAAAAGAAGCAACATGATTGCACTTACATATCAATGTTTTATTCCATTGATATAAAACTATTAATAATTATTTGGAGTAAATATCCGTTCAAAGGAAACTGACATATTTTTATGTCAGTATATCTGTGAATTTCTTTGAATTACTTTATATCGTTGTAACAATTATATATTACATTGGTTTCAATATAATAAATAGTTGCAACAATTATTTATGGTATCATATTAAAATGATGTGATGTTAAAACTTATATATTTTATTGCTTCAAGTAGATGTGCATTTCATACAATTACCGATATTGTAGGCTTTATTTTTACTTATTATACAATCAGTTATAGAATTTTGCCTTAGTAAGGCTTTGTCGAGATAACGCGCGTGCCACAAAGGTCCTCTCGTTTCGGTGGTTATTCGTTGTCGACAGCTGAGACGAGACTGCTCTCACCGTCGACCGCTCGACAGTCGAGAGAACCGAATAATTAAGACGCGTGAGATTCACGAAAACAGCACGTGAAAATCATCGTTACGAATACATACTGCTAAACCCGTCAAGGACTAATAATATATTACAAACGTTTGAAATCTAAACCATTGCCTACAGCTCGGCCGTCCTGACCTTCAGACCGTCTCGGTCTGGCGTTTCTTATCTCAATACAAATAATTATAAACATACAATATCACAATTCCAAGCATACAATATTACAATTTCAATTAACATAAGGGCGCATCTGATCAGGCGCTACTACTCCGCTGTATGGTCGCTGCGTCAACTGAAACCCGTCTATATCGCTGATTACATATCTGTCATGGTCTAAAACCTTTTTTACAATATACGGCCCTTTGAATTTTGGCAACAGTTTTTTATTGATTCCAGGCGTGGTNTCGACGTTACGGATCTCAACATAGTCACCAACTTTATATTCGCGTGCAGGCTTGCGTCTCAAATTATAACGTTTGGTATTTTTTCTTTGCGATTCGACGATATTTTCAAAAGCTTTATCACGGAACTCGTCGAGATCACGCTCGGAGTCAACATATCCATGAAGTATCTCGCGTAATACATCGTTAGTTTGACCNCGCTGCTCCACGCCGAACAATAATCGTGACGGTGTTTCGCCGGTGGATCGGCAGACGGTATTATTTAACGAGTGCTCGACCCGATCCAAAACACGATCCCACTTTGCAGGGGCCTCGCTTAATTTAGCCAACATAGGTGCAATAACCCGATTGTAGCGCTCGACCTGTCCATTCGCTCTAGGCACGCCCACCGCAATCTGCACATGATCGACCA